AAACAAGATAAAGATGCTATTGCTATACTCGATGGGATCCCTTCAAGACAAAGAACTCCCAAAGTAAGTTGCATTAACACTTTGTTATGTCTTCTCCCAGCCCTGCTCCCCTGTCTTCTGTGTGTGTCAGGGAGTCCATGGACCATGCTATTCAAGACCCTCTCCCTTTGTTCCTCTGCTGATGCAGTGGGGCTAAGGGAGATAGAAGAACAACTCTATTATGAGGCCCTGAAAATTCAGCCAGTGAAAATGGTAGCCACAGAATTCTACATGTGCTTATTCTTCTTTGGTATTTTTTACTCTAGGAAATAATGATTTGCAAAACACTTCCGGTAGCAACAACGCTTTTTTTAGAACTTCTTTTTTTTTTCATTCCATATGTGTGCCCATTTGATAATGGGAATGGTTTTATTAGTCCCCCCTTCCCCTTTCTACCCCAAAATCAAGACCACAAGATCCCTTAGTACTTATTTATGCATGGGATATGTATTCGTGTTGGATTTGGCAGCGTGTTAGAGTGAAGAAAACACCTTTAACTGAAATCAAAAGACCTGGTGTCTTGTCTGAGTGTAGCGTATACAAGCTGTGTACACTGTGAACTGGGGCAAGCTACCAGTCTCTGAGCTTTATTTCTTTTTTTCTTATTTATAAGATGTCGATACTTATATTTTCTCTGCTAACTTTTGTGGAAAATAAATAAATTCATGTATGTGAAAATACTTTTTAAAGTACTGTTCTGTAAGCATCTCCGATCAGTTGTTTTTGAAGTCCAGTTTAGAAGAACAATGAGAATCCTTGCTCCAAGGATGGAATTTACATCAATCTTTAATATTCTAACAATAGTTTTATGTCACCTGCCCTCCTCACTTCACTGACAGACTGTTCTGTGCAACCTGTGCTTAACAATAAGGAATTTTATATGAAGATGTCTGTGAACATCCTTCTGTACTTAAAAGAAAAGGGATTGAAGCAGTAAGCACCTGGTGTATTTCAGTTAGCGCTTCTTCACCACAGTGTTGCTGAGTTTGAAAAGTAACCAGTTAAACTTGATGAGAGCATGTTTATGTGCCTTATGCTGAGAAATTATTTAGTCTTTTCTGAGTTTTTAAAACTAGGGTATTTCCCTAGTATGTCTATGGTAGTGGCTGCTATTAAAAACATTTGGGAGCATATTAAGGATTAACCTGTCACATAGTAAGCTTGGATGCTGTGTACTAAATTGTGTTCTGGTAACCTATGAGAGCCTTCTCTTACCCCAAGAATAATTTTTTTGCGTATATGAAGAGCATCTGCTGCTTTTGGAAGAAGCCATTATGAATGACACCTATTCCTTATGTTATTGGGAACGTACCACAGTTCCTTCCTTAGTAACTTGCAGGAGTTTGGGGAACATTTTTGGAAAATCAATAATGCAAAAAAAGCTCAGCTTTGTGGTATGCAGTATGTTGGTGTTTACAGTCATCATTCTCAGAGGGACTAGTGGAGTCTGCATTTGTCAGGAGTACCTGTCCTTCATTCTGTAGAGCTGTTGTAGCTAGAAGCAAACAAAGATGTGTGCCTCCAAGATAAACCAGTAATATTTACAGCTTTTCTTTCTTGTCTGTTAGGGAGTTAACTGGCTTCTCAGTCTGTGTAAAGGACAAGGAAGTGAGTCAAAATACATCTAGATGAACGTCCGTTAATGTGTGGTAAACATCGCCACACATTCCCTCACATGTTAAAGGAAAATTCCAGTGTTAGAGTATAATATCTCAGTAAATCTTCAACTTTTAAGAGTGAGACATACCAAGATAAATTTCTCACCCAGTTTTGAAAAATGATCACTGCTTGTGCTTTTAACTGGTGAAACATGGCTTTATGATGTTTCCAAGTAAGGATCTTTTTTAAAAAAAATTGACTTTCTCACTAGACAGTACTCAAAACTCATTCTTCAAAATGACAGTCAAGTAGCTTAAAGGGAATTTTGATGTTTGTTGAGACAAATAGTCCATCAGTCGTAGTTTATAATAACAAGCAGTCAAGAAAGGATCTTACATTTAACCTTTCATTCTTTTCAAGTATTGAGACCAGTGCTGGAGTTTTCCTTTAAATACCTTCCTTTGCATTTTCAAAGTAGCCTAAAAGTGAAAATCTGAGGCCATATAAAAAGTGTTATTTCTAGTATTTCGTTGTTTGAATTCGCGTGGATTAATGCCGTACAAGATTGTTTTGTATGCTGTAGTTAGTTCTGCAGTTGGAGTAGATGTTCTTCATCTTGTGAGCCATTCTTTTGAGTAAATATCTGGGTTTTAAGTTGCGCACCAGGCCACAGACAGTTGCAGAGATTGGGGATTGACTGCTTTTCTTCTGTGCCCTCATGTTGACTGCTCCTTAGGTTATGATCTGGCAAATGCTGTGTTGTGTTTACTCTCTGCTCATTTTTTAATTAGAATATTGTTTTCCTCTTCGTACTGTTAAGAAAATCAGTTATCCCATCCCTGTAACTTCTACATTCTTTGGAACTTAATAGAGCTTCCGTAAGTTACATATGTGGATTGTGCTAAAAATGCAGATGTCTGCCCTCACTGGGTTTAAGTAGGGTAGCCAACATCTGGGTCATTGTCACCGTCAGGTACCGTTTGATTTTTGTAGCACCCCTTGGGCGAGTCAGACAGTACCTATGGGTCAAAGCTTTGAGCCTTAGAAAGGCAAGAGTCTAGTGCTAGAATGATTGTCAGAGAGAAACCAAGTATTTTTCTTCTGTAGCTATGTTTTCCTTTTCGGGGAAAATTCATTTGATCCTTCTCAACTAGCTGTGTTAAGAGTTTCTCACTGACTTATGCCTTGATTGCATTTAAAATATGTAAACTTGAGTACTCCTGGGGTAGTTCATCTGCTATCTTGAGATCAAGAAAGAATAAAGGCAACTATAATTTTGTAACAATTGTCAAATGAATGCTATTCCAGTTTCCAGAAGCAGCAACTTTGGTCCAGGTATTGTTGGACCTTTTGGTTTGGTAAGTGAGAGGATAATGTGACTTTTCTCTTAGGGATGGGAGGACCTAGGAAAAGCAAAGACAGTCGTTTCTTTTTTTGTTTTGAAGAATGAGGCTGTGGATAGATTTTCCAGTAAAAGGTAGAAGAGTAGTAGCTGGTAATGAAAATGAGGACTTTTTCATGATGAGATAATTTCTTGGCTGTAGACACGTAACTTAGCGTCTTTTGTTTTTGTTTATTACAGATAAACATGATGCTGGCAAACCTCTACAGGAAGGCCGGCCAGGAGCGCCCTTCTGTCACCAGCTATAAGGAAGTGCTGAGGCAGTGCCCCTTAGCTCTTGATGCCATTCTAGGTAGAGAGACCTTTCTGCCGATTTGATGGTGTGTTTACTGCTCAGGGCAGTAGTTCTCAATCTTGGCTTTACATTAGAATAGCGTTTTTTTCCCTAAGTTTTACTGATTTTGTTGTTGTTGAGAGCATACACAGCAAAACACACACCAATTCAGCGGTTTCTAAATGTACAATATATTGACACTGATGACATTCTTTGAGTCATGCAGCCATTGTCACCCTCCTTTTCTATCTAAGTTAACCCATAACATGAACTCACTGCTCCCAAGGTTCCTATCTAATCTTTTGAGTTGCTGTTGTCAGTTTGATCCCATATTGATAGTTCTCAAAAGAGCATAATGCGCAAGGCAGACCTTTTTTTTTAACTAGTTAAGCTAAACTATTGTTCGGTTTTAAGATGACTTCAGGTGATATTTTTGGTTTGAGGTTTAAAGATGATCTGAGAGCAATAGTTTCAGGGGTTCATCCACACTCCATGGCTTCAGAAAGTCTGCAGTTCATGAGAATTTTAAATTCTGTTCTGCATTTTCCCCCTTTTGATCAGAATTCTTCTATGAACTCTTTGATCAAAATGTTTGCTAATGGTGGCCAGGCACCATCCAGTTCTTCTGGTCTCAAGGCAAAGAAGGCAGTTGTTCATGGAGGCAATTAGCCACATATTCCATATCCTCCTTCTATTCCTGATTCTCCTTCCTCTGTTGTTCCAGGTAAATAGAGACCAACTGTGCCTTGGATAGCTGCTTGCAAGCTTTTAAGACCCCAGGCACTATACAGTGGACTAGGAGGTAGAACAGAAGCACTAAGCACATAAGTAGGCCACTTAACTGGGGTGTTCCATGAAACCATGCCCCTCAACCTCCAAACCAAGAAGCCAAATCCCATGGGGTGTTTGGTTGTACATAATCAGCCTCAGCAGCTACTCTTATTTTTGGCATTGTTGTAAATATATCTATCATACAGCTTTTACCAGTTCAACTTTTTACAGGTGTACAGCTTATCGACAGCAATTATAATAATTAGCTATGCAACCCTACCCTTAATCAGTGTGATTTTTCCATCACTGTTAATCTCCCTTTCCCCCCTCCCTCCCATCCTTGGCGACCACTAATACACTTTGGTCTCTATACATTTGCGCTTTCTTGTCTTTTTATATAAGTGAAGTGATACAAGATTTGTCCTTTTGTGATTATTTCACTCAGCATAATGTCTTCAAGCTCCAGCCATCCTGTAGCATGTATAAAGGCTTCATTTGTCCTACATGCTGACTAGTGTTCCATTGTATGTATGTACCACATTTTGTTTATCCATTCATCTGTTGATGGCCATTTAGGTTGTTTCCACCTTTTGGCTATTGTGAATAGTGCTGCAATGAACATTGGTGTAAGAATAGCTTTATTTTTAAAAGATGCCCAGGCCTCACCTCTGGAGGATTATCATTGCCACATAGTGTCAGTGAGACCTAGAAATAGTAAATCTGCATGCTTTGGATAGGAGAGGGGCTGCCTGTGGAGCCTGGGCAGAGTGGAGCTTGTTGCTTCTTGTTGTGGAGAAAGGATTCAGTGCCTCATCTGCTTTCTCCTGTTTTTTTTTGGACAGGTTTGCTGTCCCTTTCTGTAAAAGGTGCAGAAGTGGCATCAATGACAATGAACGTGATCCAGACCGTGCCTAACTTGGACTGGCTCTCTGTGTGGATCAAAGCATATGCTTTTGTGCACACTGGTGACAACTCAAGAGCAATTAATACCATCTGGTGAGAGCCACAACTTAGTTAATGTGCTTGAGACCCTTTCCTTGGCCGGAGGCCTGACATACCTAAATTAGCAAAACAGAAAAACAAGATGCTTATCTCCTTGTGTTGCAGTCAGTTGTCCCTGGGTTTTGTTAACCTCTGAAGACATTGAAGGGTCCCAAATGTAGTCACCTCTGCTCCCCTGTTAAAATGTACGATTGGACTGAGTTCAGCTCCTTACTTAGACAAAGATAGTAATTCTTGCAGAGCAGACTTCCTGGTGTGTCATATGGTTAAACCTGGACGAAAATCTGTTTCGAGGCCCCAGAAACATATTTTACTGCAGTATCTGATGTGAGTTGCTTTCTTAGAGCTTGGATTTTCATTGTAGTCAGGTGAAATCCAAGGACAAGAGACTGGGGTATGTGTACAGTGCATTTGGTACAATAATAAGTAGCTGTCACTTGTGAATGACATTACATTTAATGTCATTTAGTGTATATTGCCCTCTGAAAGTTCTGTCTAGGTAATGAAAGAACTCTCCTTTATTCTGTCTTTTTGCTACCCTTGCTTACATAGCTTTGTTTTAAATCATATGCTTAAATAAGAAAATCTTAAAGTACACAGTAGTTTTTAAAGTTTCTTATTACGATAAATATAATACATACTCAGAATGGTAGCTGTCAACCAGATTCAACAATGAGGATTTAGAATCAATTTAAGGTTCAACGTTTAATTCCTTAAAGTTCACTGGAGAAAAAGTCCTTACTGCGAGATAACGTGGACCTGCTGGGAAGCTTAGCAGATCTGTACTTCCGAGCTGGAGACAGTAAGAACTCTGTCCTCAAGTTTGAACAGGCGCAGATGTTGGATCCTTATCTGATCAAAGGTAAGTGTGATTCTTAGGGCAGGGTGGTCGTGGCTGTAGTAGGGGCAGATCAGAGAAGACAGGGAGAAGGTGTAGCAGAGCTCTTGATACCATTTTTCTTGGAAATATTGTAAAAATTTATTACAGCAACCTGTCCCCTTTCTTTAGGTCCTAATGCATGTCTCTGACACATAATTCCATTCTGAGCTGCTGTTTTTGGTTGAATTTAAGTATCATCTTCCCACAGATCATTATTTGGCTTTTTTTCTTTTTGTGGGGTCATGGCCCCTCCTTACAATTTATAAATTTATGATGTGCCTAACAATTTGGGTGGCATTCCCAGAGCCATATAGCCTTTTAGGGAATTTTGTCTTCTGGGTTGTTAGTGTAATTAAAAAAGAGTAAGTGAACCAGATACTAAGAAAGGGATAAGGTGATTAAAGGACATAATTAGGAATCAAAAGCCAAAAAATCATTGATCTGAAAGAAGAATGCAGCTGAAGGGCTGAGCCAGAGGCACTTCCAAAGGAGGCTGTCAGGTGACTGGCAGTGAGCGGAGAGCATGTGCCAGGAATAGCAGGACTAAGAGTGGCTAGATAGGCTGAGGTCTGCTTGGAAAGGACCAAAAAAGGTCATCGGAAAAATACGGCCTCGTGGCAATAGGCTCTCTTGTAGGCTCTTAAGGCAAGAGAATGACAGAGCAGGGAGGGGACCTTCACAGCAGGTGGGTGGGGAAACAGACCCAGAATGAATTTGTTTGCTCAGGGTCTCCCTGCTGGTCAGTGCTTACTCGTCTTCTCCAAGCTGCCTGCACCCATGATGAAAAGGGTGTTCTAGAAATACTGATCTGCAGCAGTAGGCAGCTTGGCATCAGAAGCTCAGACCTGCGACGAGGGGCCAGCAGGAAGTGTTGCCATGATCTTGGCTTGAGAGGAGATTTTCATGGGAACCTGAAGGGCCAGCAAGGAGTAGAGGAGAATGGTGGCAAGAGATGGGTGACTACTGCGAGCAGGGGCCCTTTTTATGAAATGCTTTTGAAAACCAGAGTGAGCCAAAACTCGATTCCAGAAAGAACTACATGCTTTTTCTGGAATAGGCCAACTCTTTCTGAGACTAACCGGTGTTTGCAGCACATCAAGTGCTTTACCCCTGACTCTGCCTGGAGTGCTGGGAAGAGAGCATTTATCTGATGCCTTTTTTGGGCGTTTTCTGGTAATGAGTTACAGCCATATATCACACCACAGGATGTAGGGACAAATAGTTCCTGAAAATAACAGCTTTCAGATTGTGAGGTAGGTCCTTCCGCATCTTTATTTTTTTGGCTAAGGTTTGCCTTTATAATGGTAATTTTGTAAGAAACTGAAAATACTGGCAGAGGAGCCCATAATGGAAAGGGTGCAGACTCTCAGGAACTGGGGCCTGATGGGGGGTGGAGTTGGTGAAGGAATATCCTGGGCCGTGTTCTGGTTGCTGCTCCTTTATGAAGGTCCCTGCTGCTTTGCTCAAAGAACCTCTTCTTCCTCCATTGTTCTTTCCTAGGAATGGATGTGTATGGCTACCTCCTGGCTCGAGAAGGGCGACTGGAGGATGTGGAGAACCTCGGCTGCCGCCTTTTCAATATTTCGGACCAGCATGCAGAACCCTGGGTGGTCTCTGGGTGTGTCTGGCCATTCGCCTTTCTCCTGGTTTTCCCTAGAGTCTTTGGGAAATTGTGGTTCCTCCTGGATAGAGTATAGATTAAAAGCAGAGGTTTGAGAGGTGATTAGACCTGGATTCAAATTGTGGTCTGTCTACGACTTTGGACACATTATTTACCTGAGTCTGGTTTTTTTCGTTATTTGGAAAATGGGGATAGGAGCCCCTGCTTGACGGGTGACATGGAGTGAGATAGTGAGCCAGCAGCCCAGGAGATGCTGCTCTGTGCTGAGCTGGCTTCACAGTGAGTGTCTCATCTAACAACTCATATCCAGATTATCAGGTCCTTTTCTGTGATTTTTCCCTTCCACAGTAAGATTTTCTCCCTTAACTATTTAGTGGGTTTTTGTGTGTGTTTTGATTTTTAAGTAATATCTTAGGTTAAAGCTCTAAGTGTGGTTTGTAATCAGGAGCGTGTGTAGGGCGTTTTCTTGGACTTTTGCATGAAGTTCCTTTAGAGTCTTCTCTCAGGTAACGTTTTGCTGTGTGTTTTTTTCCTCTAGGTGTCACAGCTTCTACAGCAAACGCTACTCCCGGGCCCTCTACTTAGGGGCCAAGGCCATTCAGCTCAACAGTAATAGCGTCCAGGCTTTGCTACTCAAGGGAGCAGCACTTAGAAACATGGGCAGAGTCCAGGAAGCAATAATCCACTTCCGGGAGGCCATACGGCTTGCCCCTTGTCGCTTAGATTGTTACGAAGGTAAGACAGAAGATATGGATGAGGCGTGGGAATCTACACATGTGGAGGCAGGCAGCCCGAAAGCTTCATTAGGCCAGCGGTTCCCAAACGCTGTTGTACGTGAGAATCGTCTGGGGGGCTTTAAAAATCCTGATGGCAGGTCACACCACAGCTAGTAATTGATACTGGTTACAGCAGAGTGTTGGGGCGTGGGAGATGGCATCAGTATTTTTTAAAGACCCCAGGTAATGCCAACATGCAGACAAGTTTGGAGCCGTTGCCCTAGGCAGTTCGCGTCACTGAGGGCTGTCCCTGGATTCTTCCCTCCAGGTAACTTCCAGAATCCGTCCATCTTACTCTCTTTGTTTTTGGTGGGGGTAGTTTTTTGTCTTGTCTTCCCCCCAAAATGTGTCCTGCTGAGTGACGTGACTGTGCCAGGCACTGTGCTGGACCACTCGGGTGTGTCTTTGTAGGGAACACCACATCCGTACAGCACCGTGGGTGTGGGAACTGGTCCTTCGTTGTGACCTCCAAAGTGGGCGCGATCAGGGTCGCCCTTTGTTTTGCCGTGTAATATTTTAAGCTCATGTGAACTGATCCTCGGGGTTCAAAGGAGCTATGCCGGCTTCAGCAACATTGATGACTCAGTCACAGACATTAAAATAGAGCTTACAAGATGCAGTTCCTCCAAAGCATATTTTTATAAGGACTTAAAAATAAACTCAGGAGCCTAGGAGTGACTTGCTCTTAACAGTAAGATGAGTTCAAATTTCAGAAATAAAAATTGAGGCATTGGGATAAGGAACAAGTGTGCATACATACCCTGAGAGCTGTGCCTGTTGGGGGAAGAGTGTTGCCTTTGTTCTTAAGCCCCAGCAAACCACACTTTTAGTTTCAGATTAAATTCCTGATCATAAGCCTAACTTTCCTAGCCTCCATCCTGCTACATGCCTGTTTCGCCAGAGCCCAGCAATGCAGTCAAAGAAACCCACCCGCACAGCACTTGGCAACGAGGATGGTTGGAGTTGTTGGGGGCAGGGGACGTTCTCCAGGGGCCAGTGAGGCTTCATGGGCCACCTTCTCTCAAGCTACCATTTGGCGATCTGGGCAACAATGAGTCGAGTTACTAGTTACATCTTCTGGTGCTTTTGCAACCCCCAGCACTGCGTCCATCCTTTCCTGGTCAAGGCCCTGGATTAGTGAGGTGCATTCTTTCTGTTTCCTTCTGAAATTCCATTGTGGCTTTAGCAGGGAAGTAAAACTACTCAGTAAGAGCAAACAACCTTATTCTGAATCCAGCACGTTGCCCTGAAGGGTTACATAATTTCTGCTTAAGTAACGATGGCGTGGTGGTAGAGTGTGCATGGCTGTTTGAATGCTGCTGGCTTGGAGGAGGATGCACACAGAATCTGCCAGGTTTATGTGGTCTTGGGGTTTAAGCTGTTTTCCTATTTTGCTGAGTGCTTTGGCGTGAATAGTTGAGAGGTGACCACTTGAAGGGACCCCATAGAGCATCTTGCTGCTGGTGTGAAACAGCAGGGGCTACAGATCTGACTGTGTTTGCTCCATCTGATAAATGCTTTCCATCAAGGTGAGGGTCTGAGACGTAAAAATACGTCTGTGTTTCAAACGAAAAATCTTCCTTTCTCCTACTGGTGGCTTGCCAGTAGATGTTTTTAGTTTGTAGAACTGGACATTCGATTTTGGGCTGTAGGCACCTTCCCCGCTGTGACCTGGGACAAAAGGTGACTGAACGCAGCTGAACATCATGACCACATGTTGATGGTTAAGAGCAGGCAGACGAACGACTGGTGTCGTGTCTGTTCTTCTAACGTTTGGATGGGCTGCCGTTTCCTGAGTCCTGTTTCCTCCTCTAACCGAAGGTGCCTTTGTGCAGTGCAGGCTTTTTCCACATTCATCAAGTGCTCTGGGGAAGAGAACTTCTTAGCTATTCCATCAACATACCCTCCTGTCTAATCTCCCCATCAGTTTCCCCCCCGGCCTGCCTTTGTCTGAAAGTGTGAAAGTTTGCCGTTTGGAAGGCTATCAGAGTGGAAGCATGGCTCGGAATGGTAATGTGGTTGAACTTCTCTCTGCGTTTTATTTTCCCAGGTCTCATCGAATGTTATTTAGCCTCCAACAGTATTCGTGAAGCGATGGTAATGGCGAACAACGTTTACAAAACTCTGGGAGCGAATGCACAGACCCTCACCCTTTTAGCCACTGTTTGTCTTGAAGACCCAGTCACACAGGAGAAAGCCAAAACTCTACTAGATAAAGCCCTGACCCAGAGGCCAGATTACATTAAAGCGGTGGTGAAAAAAGCAGAGTTACTTAGTAAGTCTATCTTATTTTCTCAGCTGTTCCATGTTAATTTTTATAGAACCTGATCTCAGTTGGATTCCCCAGACCCAACTGTTTCCAGTTGACCAGACAGGCTGCCTGCCGCCTGCTTGGATTGGTAGATGTGTAGCACAACCTCATGGAGCTGCCTTCTACCTGCCTGGCTAGGTGGTGGCTGACTTGACTTTTTTTGGACTGGCTCAAATCAGCTATAATTGGTTGGTACCTGTTCAGCTCACCTTGGTCTGGTTTTAGCTGTCCTAAACTAGTTAGGACTGAACACAGCTGGATTTAACCCAGTTTGAACTACTTTGATCCATTTGGATTCTCTTTAGACTTCCCTTCTAGCCTTGGTTTCTCCAGTCCCGATTTTGATCACGTCCTGGCTTTGGGCTAGTGAGGCAAATACAGTGCATTTGGAAGTAGGAGTGAGAGTACATTTAAAAAAATCAGGTTTCCTAAGGGGTGGGAGTTCAGACGAGCTTTTTCCCCTTCCTGTAGCACCATCACTGTCCCGGTGACACCCACACACCGAGTGTCAGGTTGTACTCGTGGTGGTTCCGTGTAGATGACTGGAGATGGGAATGTATTTTCAAATTTTTATTGAAGTAGGAAAATGAGGGGTTTTTGTCTTTTCAGGCAGAGAACAGAAATACGAAGATGGGATTGCTTTGCTGAGGAGCGCACTAGCTAATCAGAGTGACTGTGTCTTGCATCGGATCCTAGGAGATTTCCTTGTAGCTGTCAATGAGTATCAGGAAGCAATGGACCAGTATAGTATAGCGCTAAGGTAGGCACTAGCCTCCCGGGGGGAAGGTCCATGAGCAGGGGCAGAGGAGGCAGCGGAACTCTTAACAGGAGTGCTAGAAACACACACAAAGTCTGCACCCCGAGTGGTAATAGTCATAGTGGAGGAGCTCTTTGTGAATTCAGGACTCCTAAAGTTTTTTCCTTAAGTATATTAGCAACATTAAAAACCTGTTTCGCTCACAACCAACCTTCGTCACATCTAGAACATCTGTTTTCCTTTGTATAGATCATCCTCCTGTCTTTGCCCACACATATACATATTTTTATAGGGTTATAAGTAGTATATATTTTATATTGTGCTTTTTAAAATCAAAGTAAGTACCTTCCCGTGTTTGCAGCTACTGTAGTAAAGAACTTGAGCTCTGAAGTTTGAATACTACCTTCATCCCCTATTTATTGTTCTCTTGGGCAAGTTACTAACAGATTTCCTTGTCTATATTTCCCCACCTTATTAGGTATTAAATAATTAAATGAGGATTAAATGATTATTTCATGTAAAGCTCTTAGCACTGTGCCTGGTACATAGTAAATACTTAATAAATAGTGGTATTATTACTACTTAATACAGAAGTGATTTCTTTGAGGGTTGTCTGTGTGTGTAAGGTTATGGTGAAGGCCTGTCTTTGACCGAGTCTGATCACATTCATTTACTCACTCAGCAGACAGTTGAGCACCAGTCGTGTGCCTGGCACCTCAGGCACCAGGGGGGATGCTGGGAGCACACGATCAGAGGGGGTCAGACGTGCAACATGATCGGTAACACGTGCTAAGTGTTTTCATAGTCTACAGATGGTGGGGTGGGGGACACCCAGGGACTGGGGTGAGAGCTGTATGGAAGGTCTAAGGAGACGTTACAAATCCATTACAGTTACATAAGTAGGAATAGGATTCCAACGTGGTTTTTGTTTGCTTCTTGGAAGCCCAGAGGCAAGTGAGAAAATAAAACAGCAGACTTTCATTAGGGGTGGGGTGTGCTAGGGACCGACACCTGCTGGCATGGGGGATGGTCACCAGGCAAGAGGCAAGGTTGCTTAGGAGACAAGTAAATGTCGGGAGGCCCTGAGCTCTGGGGGCTGTGGCATGCGTAAGGACTCTTAGCTGCTGAGCTGGAATGCCCAGGTGCAGGCTAGCCTTGGCATCCTGGGGACTAACCTAGGAGTTTGCACAACTGTTCCATGGTATAGCATGATCTTTTTGGTTGAGTACTGAAATTCCGATATGTCATAACATGGAGCAGTTTTGCTCACAGAATATAACTCTTATGTAACCCCGTAGCTCAAAAACTCAGTACTTGAAAGAAATTACATTTGAATTTTCTTACTCCTGTTTTTTTGCAATTTTTCCATTTGTTATCTGGTAGCTTTCTATAACAGAATGCTAGGGGTAATGGGCATGAAAATGTTCTAAAAATTTATGGAGAAAAACTCAAGTTGAGAATTCTAAGAATTAGGCAAAGACGCCGTTTTTCACTTCTAGTGGTGGACCCCCTCGATGCAGCCCACGGAACCCGGAGTTGTTTGGAGAGGCCAGGCTTTAGCAGCTTCTCTGTGACTGTGTGGTCATTTCACTGCCGGGCCAGGGAGATGACAAGTCAGCCAGCAAGAAGCCAGGCAGAGATTCAGGCCTCTCCTTTGTTTTGTTGTCCCCTAGTTTGGACCCCAATGACCAGAAGTCTCTAGAGGGGATGCAGAAGATGGAGAAGGAGGAGAGTCCCACGGATGCCACTCAGGAGGAGGATGTGGACGACATGGAAGGGAGTGGGGAAGAAGGGGACCTGGAGGGCAGCGACAGTGAGGCGGCCCAGTGGGCTGACCAGGAGCAGTGGTTCGGCATGCAGTGAGGCGGGCGGCCACACCTGAGCCACGCTGACCTCCTGTGCTGAGCACGGCACGGTGGACTGAAGGCGTCCGTAGGAGCCCACTCCCGGGAGGACGTGATTGCAGCATGTGATTGCAGCAGGGGTCTCTGCCCCTTGCTCCGTATTTCTAGTAGTGACTTCATTTTTAAGAACTGAGCCTGACCAACCTTCCATGTATCTCCACCCTCCCCTCCGGCAGCCAAGGAGGACCCTGTGAGCTCTCTGTGAGGCTCATGCTTACGCTGGGGCTTCTGGGACAAGACGTGCTTTTTTATAACTTATTTCTAAATCTGAAAGTTCGAGGAATAGACAACATTTTGTCTGCGATGTTGTGAATGAGTTTAAAGGAGTGACTGATCATCCCACAGCGAGAACGTCTTCTCTCCAGTCCGACGGTGGCATGTGCCGGCCTTCTTAGAAAGGGTCTCCTGTTCCCAGAAGCAATCGTCCTGGGCTGTCCAGACCTCCCGAGTTACCTCGCTTCCTTCTGCGACATTAGTAATGCCTTAAGCTGACAGTTGCTATTTTGCAGAACAATTTTCCTGTTTGCTGATCCAGTACCTTGCCTGTGTGCCCGGGTGGGTCTGAGAACCAGGTGTGACCTAGAGCATGAGCAGAGGCGTACCTGGAGTAATAAACTAATAAAACTTTTTTGTACAGTGATGCTGTTGGGTTGATCAGAATGGAAGCCCTTTTACAGACTCTTACTTTTTTCGGTCTCTCATTCGGAAGACATTGATGCAGCCCCATAATGGCTTGCCGTAACTGCCGGTAGTCTCCCTTTCTTTCTTCCCTTGGTGTTGGGAGCAGGGGGTTGGAGGCCTCAGGTAACACAGAGCTGGTTCAGCCACTTGGATTTTTGATTGGCCAGAGTTCGGGCTGATTCTGCCTGGCTCTTTAACCGGGTGGAGGTTGGCGCCTGGTTTCAGCGTTCTGTGCTGGGTCCACCCTTGCCCCTTTGTTTCTTAAGGTGCTGCTGCCTTTGGAGTATACAATGAACTCTGATTATTTGGAGGTGAAGGTCATGGGGGGGGCATGTCACAGCTAACACCAAATTCTCATTAAAACAAAATCAGTCCAAAGATGTTAAAAAATGTGAATTTGATATAAGTGGATATCCAAAAGTGTAAAAATAATGTAAATGTGCACTAAACTCAAAACATCTGATAACTGCTGAGTTTAAAATGGGTGCCAAGTTACTGTTAAAATACCTCTCAGTACAAGACCCAGAGTCTACCCGCTGTCACTTAGCCACCAAGCAGTTCCAGAGCCCCGCAGGCACGTGTGGGGTCACTGCTTGGATCTGAACTTCCTCCCCTCTGGGCTGAGCAGCTCCTCCAATCCAGTCCCTGAGAAGAAAGAGGAAATCTCTGCCATTTCCCTGACTTGTGCAAGACCAGCCCCCTCCCTCCCACCACACCCCTGAGGGACCTCTGGTCAGGACCGGGCCTTGAGCCTTGCCTTCCTCGCAGCCTTTTCTCCCGGCTTTCCTTGGCCTGTCCCTCAGCTCTGCAGAGAGCCCCTGGATCGGCCTGGCCTGCCCGTTCAGATCTCTCCATCCCAGCAACACCCTCAGGCCTGCTTGCTGGCAGGTCCAGCATTTCCTCCCTGAGGGCTTGGGGTGACTTTTTAGAGCACCTCACAAAGGGTTGAGAAAACACACCTGGTCCACAAAGATGGGAGGAGCTGGACTTGAAGGGTGCTGAAGGTTTCACTGGGCGCTGCTGCTACCCTCTTCCCTCCATTGGTATAGAACCAGCGAACCGCCTGGGGGCAGGGAGTCACAGAAAGCTGACTTGCGCAGGATGAGGGGCTGCCCAGTCCTATCACTATCCCATTGAGCTGACCCTGGAGACCAACGCCCACAAGTACGTTTTGGTGCTTTGAGCTTCCCTCACACAGCCAGTGTGGAGGTGTTTGAGCTGGTTCCTATCATTTCGCCTCTCAAATTGAGTAGCACAGGCTTGAAAGCAGACAGCAAGCTACGTGCTGAGAGTCCCAGCTCCACTCAGGAGGCTGCGTATTCATGGGCGGCCAGTTAACCTCTGCAGGCCTCGGTTTCCGAACCTGCCACCTTGGTGAGGGATAAAGTTAGTGGGATGCCTGTTGTAAACATCATCGCCGCACCCAGGGTCAGTGTCCAGGCTGCTGATCCAGCCCCAGTCACCATGGTGGGTGGGATGACTGTCGCAGGAAGAGTCTCAGCGAGCAGGGCGGCAGGCCGAAGTGAGGGTGCTCCCTGCCCTCTGCCTTCATTGCTCACACCCCACCTCTGAGCCCCTGCTGTGTGTCAGCACCTGGCCAGGCCAGGTGCCTCCTTGCCCTGTGGCCTACACTCCTGCCGCTGAGTTCCCGCTCAGGAGGAGGCCAGCTGTCTGCTCAAAGCAGAAATTCTCAGACTGGAGCATGCTGGTCAGCAGTGCAGACTCCCAAGCCTCTGGGGGCCGGGCCCAGGAGTCTGAACTCTAGGCGTTTCCCACTGCACCTGGCTGTTCTGTTGCAGGAGCTCCCGGGACAAACGTGGAGAAACCCCGGGGAGGGGTCTGGGGCCCAAAGCCGCCAGCTTGACCGCTTGACCTCCGAGGGGCCCGGGGGCTCTGCCCTGCTGTGGGTGGGAGGGACCTGCCTGAACAGGCCTCAGCTGCGCTTGGCCTCCAGCCCCTGGGCGGCGCACCTGGGCAGGCCGGGGCTAAGGCCCGGCGGTCTGCAGCGAGCCAGCCCCGAGGAGCACCTGGCCCTGGCCCTGCGCGTAGCACGGCCAAGTTCTCCGGCTGACAACAGACACGGGCCTGACTGGACACGCGCTGTCCCTGGACCCGGGCAGGGAGGCCTGTGAGGTAAGCACCCGGCCCACGGGCACCCACGGTGCAGGCTGGGCCAGACGCCTCGGCCGGGCATGGGGCACGGGGCATTTCCGGGTGGCGGTGGGGGTGTCCGTGCCCCTCAGTCACTCGGCTCACAAACCACAGCAGCCACGCCGCCGCCATGACGGTGCAGGTTGGGCCTCGCACCAGTGAGAGAAAATACTTCAAAATAACAGTGAGGAAGTAGCCTGTAATTCTGCCACCCGGATAGCCCCCGGAACACAGCAATGTATACAAAGTACAATACGTATTTGTAATATATATGAGTTACATAGAAGTGGTTGTTAGTTGCCCTCAAGTGGCCACCAACTCATGGCGACCTTAAATACAACAGAACCAAACGTTGCCGGGTCCTGCGCCATCATCAGGATCGTCAGTCTGTTTGAGTCCATTGTTGTGGCTGTTGGTGAGTCCATCCCATGGAGGGTTTCCCTCCTTTTTGCTGACCCTCTCCCACCCTTGATGTTCTTTTCTAGTGATTGGTCTTGTCTGGTGACACATCCAAAGTAAGCTGGCCACAGGCTCACCATCCTTGTTACTAAGGAACATTCTGGTTGCATTTCTTCTAAGACTGATAAAAGTACACATGGTTAAAAAAGTTAAACAGAGAAAAGTATAAATATATATATGTGTATGTATATATATATCTACTGCCCAATCTCTAGTGAATCCCAGTGTCCTTCCCCAGAATAAATTAAGAAATCAAGAAAAAAGTTAGAAAAGGTGTTGTACTTTTACCTACTTGTACATATATAAAGAAATATACTGAAGGAGTCATGCTATCTATCCGCTGAAGACAGTCCAAGCCTGTGTTGTGATTTGCTCTTTGTTCGTTGGTTTTAACAATTCCACAGAATCCTGTGTCTGGATGGAATAGTTTCTGTAACCTGCTGCTATTGGTGGACACCTGTTTCTAGTTGTGGTTGTAATTATTACAGTGGGTGTTGCGGTGAACGTATCTAGGCGTAAATTTTCAAGGATATGCAAAGGTCAAGTTCCTTACGGTGACATTTCTAGATCTCAGAGTATAGTGCATTTACATTTTTGATGGGTGCTGTCAAATTGCTTTCCAAATGGTTATATTGGCTTAATGGTAGATAGGACTGCTTGTTGCATCCTCACCAACAAGGGTATCATCAGGCATTTTGGGTTTTTTTTTTTTACCAATCTCAGGTGTGGAAAATACCTCGTGGGTTCGATTTGCCTCAGCTGCTGTTTGCCTTCAGGCTGGACTTGAGGCAAGCCCTTGTTGTTAGTTGCCAAGTCGATTCTGACTTCTTTCAGAGTAGATCTGCTCCATAGGATTTTCAAGGCTGTAACCTTTTAGAAGCAGATTGGCAGGCCTGTCTTCCGAGGTGCCTCTGGGTGGATACCAACCTTTTGGCTAGTAGCCGAGCACTTAACCATTTGCACTACCCAGGGACTGAGGCAGGACCTTGACCTACATTATCGCATCTAATCCTCACACCTGCTGAGGTGTAGGAGGAAGTAGCCCCATTTCATAGATGAGCAAACTGAGACTCAGATGAGGCATCTTGGCTGTTGTCATCTGCCCAGGGTCTCTCATCCTGGAGCATTCTTACGGTCTTAACCATGGTCTCTACACACTTTTTTTATTCTGTTCAAGAGAAAACAGCCCACTCTCAGCGCATCTCATGGCAGTCAGTCTGTCTGTCTGTCGCTGCAGTCTGTCCTCAGCCTGGCTAGGTTTAAAGGCCGCCAGCGGTCTGGCAGGGCAGCCAGCGCCTCGCGACGCTCTCTCGCTGCCACTTCCATCTTCCCAGCTCTGTCTCTCTATAAACAACCCTCCGGTGACCTCCTTTGTGCTCACAGCCTTTTCCTTCTTTGGGTAAATTCCCAGGAGGGGATTTCAGAATGAAAGGACACAGTGGTCATTTTTGGAGCTTGCAAGACAGCTGGCTGCGTCATCCTCTGTGCAGTGAATCTGTGAGCCCAGGCCAGCCCTGCGTCTCCTTTCTGTCTGACCATGTGGCCACCCCAGCTGCCCCAGTCAACTCAGGGGCACATCCATAGGCTTCAGGTTAGGGGCGAACAAGGAGCTTCCCAGTCTCTGAACCGTGCACCCCACTGCCACTCACCAGGACAGAGCTTGAGGACCCCACCTTTGCCTCCTGGGGCCTGTGGGATTTGTTTGGGGCCTCTCCCCCATAAGACAGCCCATGTCCTGCACTGAGGGTGGGGAGTTGCTTTTTGGACTGAGGTCCCAGCTGGGTCCCATAGGTTCCAATCTCCCCTGATTGGGTCTGAGTGAGACTGTGTGCTTGATGAGGTACATTGGGCGGGGAAGGTGGAGAGTGAGGGCATTGCTGGTTGGCTGTGACCTCCCTGAGCTCCCCCTCCTTCCTTCAGTGCCCCCTCAGGGGTATCCCACCCTCCCCACCAGGGGGGCTGAGCCCTTCAGAGGGTTCTGCCCCCAGCAGGTGGAAGCCTCAGACTCATGGCCTGCCATTGGCTGTATGACTCTCGGCAGCTCACTTAGCCTCTCTGTGCCCATGTTGCTTTGGAAGGTGCTCAGGGAGTCAGGTCCCCTCTCCCTGCCGGCAGGCATGGGGGTAACGTGGAAGGGACTCAGTGGCTGAGATGTCAGCACTTGGGGCCCTGAGAAGGGTTGCGAACCCCCCAGGCCTAAACTCTGGTCCTTGTTGGGGCCAGCATCACTGTGGACATGAGCCTCTCCCCCTAGCCAGAGGGCCGGGCCCCTCTGGGGCTAGATTGCCAGTGAAGCTATTTTTTATTTTGTGGAGCAGACTCGGCCCACCTGCACCAGTCTCCCTTG